ATGTCACACCTCCTAAGCAACCACAATTACCTCTATGCCTTTTTCAAGAAATTACAGGCTTTGACAAAGAAAAAACTTGCAACAAATTATAGTCAATCAAGACATGCACCCAAGTGGTATATGCAATTAGGATCTGTGTAATTAAAGGTTTTAATCAAATTCACCACTGACAAAAGCATAATTAGGACTTGGCAGAATTCATCTAGATAATCAAAGAAATAAAACGTGAGGAGAAGACAAGCAATGTGAGCGGCCAAAAGGCCATCGAGGTCTCACCCTGGGGCCATCGAGCAAGTATAGCTTCTTTGAGAGAGGCGACGGTGGTCGAAGGATCGTACTTGTTCGGCCCGATGTCGGTGCCGTCAAACAGCCTAAACTTGAGCTCAATCAAATCATCTCCTGCCATCGCCAGGCCTTCAAGAAACAGTTACTATCGCCCAAACAATCCACGAATCAGGACCAATTCAGCTTTTGCGGCACCGATCAATCCAAACTGCCAAGCAAGAGCGAATCAGCCGAGAAATCACGTGGGCCTCAATTCCTCCAGCAACCAGAATTCCCAGGATTAGCAGGTAAAAACCCCTCTCTGCCGGCCGTAGAGAATCTTGCAAATTCCGGATCCAATACGAAGAATCACGGCTGACTCCCGCCCTACATGATCAGTTTTCATATCAAAATTGGGTCTCGGAGGATTCAAACAAGCCAAGAGGCAATCTAGATCCTCTTAGCGTTGCTGAAATTGCTCGAGGAGTGGAAGAGGCGAGTCCAAAAGAAGGGAAAAAGACGCTTCTTTTGCTTTCCAAACCACACCCTCCTCCTCGGCCCCCTTTGCTTTATTATATGATTAAGCCAAAAAAGCCACTGGGAATATATCTTATTAGCTTCGATCAACACAACGGTCTTTCTACCACCATAAATTTAGAGTAGTACGCGACAATCAATTATTATTCTCAAAAACAAATCTTAGTAAAATAATTTTTATTCAAACAAAAAATTTCAAATATTTTTCATAAAATGACAGCAATCTTTTTTTTTCAAAAAAAAAAGCTATATTATTAATCTTTGCTTAAAAATACATAAAATACTAAATCTCCTATAAAATAGTTACTTGGAAGAACAAAACAAAATATATCAACAAATTCATCGAGCAGGAAGATTCTAAAACATCCCTTTAAAACATATGACAAGGTCTCAAATAAAGTAAATCACAAATAAAATATCAATCCAATCATGCCACTTGTCAACATCAAAATCTGGAATCACTTGAGCTGGCCTAATCGGATCTGAATCAGTTCACATTGGTGGGCTAAACCAGCTTGAATTGGCCGGAAATGGTCTGAAACTGTCCTGGACCGATTGCAACTGATTGATTTGGAAGCCACAAAGGGTCCGAGCGTTGGGCCGCCGGAATCGACTGTAACGACTCCAGTTGGGCTTCAAGGCGACTTCTGCCCAGCTAGCCGTGAGCAGGGCCCAAGCCGTCAGCCCACGAGCCACTGGGTCGCAAGGGCCACGGGCCCTGCGTCACACAAGGCAGCACCTGGGTGGGCTTGTCGATCGAGCCAACTGGTCTAACTCGAGTTAGACAACAGGCTGAATGGTTTTGAATTCGACCTAATTTGAATCTCTCTTTTCTTTTATCATTAATTTACAACCAATTGATTGCAAAATTTGAAACATGTAACATCACATGGAAAAATAAGATTAAGTATCAAAAATCATATTACTAATAATAGTTTGATCTTAACGACTTATTTATTTGAATATGAATTATAAATACAAATATGTAAAAATCAAATATCTGAGTTTTAAAACAACATCATGGAAATTTACTTACAAATCATAAATCTAAATTATGTACAAATATCATCTTTTTAGTTCTAAAATCACCAATGCTAAAATTCTAAAAAGAATGGAAAATAATTGTATCATGATCGGACCATTTTTGTAAATCAAAACTTTAAAATTAAACGAAATAATTAAAGGAGAGCGATGGACCTATCTATCTCTTTGACGATCTTCTTGTTGATCAAAAACCTTAAGTCGTCGTTGATCAACATGAGGATATAACTATCAATTAATAGGAGAAGCAAGGCGGGTTTCCTACTCAAGCGATGAAACCAATCATGGCATCTTTGGAATTTTAATTAGTTAATTAATTTAATTTTATCCTTGATTGAATTATCTTAGGAATCAACATTCTCTCTTTAGTTATATGCAAATAAGTTGTACATTGCATGGTGACATTCCTTAAGAAAATTTTATATCTAAATTTGATTTACCTAAATGAAATTTACGTAAACCAAATTGCCCTATGATATACGCTTTATGGTATTTGCAACTAAGGGTATAGATTTTCTATGCTCCCTTCTTTCCAAAATTTGGATTAGTTGCTGACAATATCTCTCAACTATATTATAAGCTCATTTGATTGTTGATTTGCTCTTCTGTCCAAATCTCATCACTCATCTTATCAAAGATATTTTAGAAAAGATGTGATCTCAAACTTGTTCAAATTCCATGTCCCTTCTTCAATTTGTGCAGCTTTTCTTCCCATTACAAAGAGATAATGTCAATATCTCTTTGTAATAATCATAATATAAAAAGCTTTCACTCTCGAACGACATCCTAATACACAAACAATATACATTTTCACATATAAGATACTTCAGAAGAGGTCATCCATATGTTACACTGATAATTACTTTTGTAGGCAAATTCAATAATGTGCATATGCTTATCTCAACTACCAACTAAATTTCAGTGATAAACTCTTAAAAGATCCTTCAAAATTTTAATTATTTTTAAAATTTATTATTTATTTAAGGATGAAAAATTATACTAAATTTTAATTGAGTACACAATATGAATCGAATATTTTTATTAGAAATAAAACTAACAAGAACTCTACAGTCTCTCTTATACATAATTACGTTAGTTTGTTTGATGAATAATTCTTGTTAACAAAACAAATTATGTAAACTTATTAAAATTACTAACAATCACCTACATATTATCATCTTCTTTCTATATTTTAAATAACCCTGATACAAAATATATAGTAATGTACTCCCACTTTCATTTAGAAATTGATATATTCTATAATTTGTCATTATGTACTTATTGCTCTAACTTTCATTTATTAACAAAACAATCATTTGAAGATAAACTTTGCTATATTTCTCTTCATACCTAACCACTGGTATTTGATACATCTTGATACTTTCTATATGAATGGCAAATCACAAATATATATCTCCCTAAATGATTTTGGGTAAATAACTCTCTCTGGATTTTTGTTGCTTCTATGCCTATTTTAACCATCTACTTTAATACCTCTATGTTCTTAATAAGTTCTTATCTGACTAATCGAAATATAAATTGTACCTCTCACTCATGACTTCCACCGTCTTATTGCACAGCATATGTCAACTTTGTATTTTGTTATACTATTAGTAGTGAAATTTGCTCGTCTAGCTTTATCTATTGATTACATCAAGTTTCTACAAGTGAATATAAGTTCTAAAAAGGTCTACCATCCAATAGCTGTGATCATACCTTTATACAACTAAGTATTTTACTTAACTTGTGAATATGCACTTGGAAAATATATCCTTATGGTATTTTGCCTCATTTGCTTATGTTTAAAGCTTTAATCCTATGTAAATTTAATATATCACTTACCTTTATAGTATCATAAGATTTGTTTCTTGAGTTTGTAGCCCTTTATAATATTGTGTTGATTACCGAAACAAAGCTCAAACAGCTCCAACCATTTCTCCATTCAGTGCAAACAAGTTTTTTTAGACAACACAAGTTAAGAATTTGTCAAATTTTCTAGGTAATCAATCTCTTTCTTACAAGATACTTTATAGGAATATATTAATCTTCTTTTCTACCACATTTAAAATTTTATTTTAATAAAAATATTTTTAATATATTTTTTTTATTTCAAACTTAAATATTATTTTTTCTTCAACCAATACAATATAGAACAAATGAGAGAAAAAGACCTTCATTTCTAGTTTATCATTATTTAAATATCAATCTAATTTAGGCATATGAGATAAACAGTGATTTTTTTATTTGAATAGGAGAAAAACACAGGATTCAAATTATTATTATTATTATTATTATTATTATTATTACATTTAATTTGCCACCGGTCTTGTAATGTCTTGGGGGGGGGGGAATGCATTTGGACTCTCTCCTTTCATATTTGTCTTCTTTTTATCTGATTCTTTCTTTTTGTAATTATTTTTCTTCTATATTTCTTTCTCTTTTATTTTTTTTTTTCCTAGCTTTTTTTTTGTTTACGTGAGAGGTCTTCCCATACAACATTCACCGAAGAGCCCTTTGATGTCATTCTACAAAAGATTGTTAGGTTTGGAAATTGAGATGAACATGTTCTTGCAAAACTTTATAGAAGTTTTAATTTAGACTACACTTAGTCCTTGAAAATTCATGTGCATGTTTACCATCAATACCTTTTAATTGGTACCCATCTGATATGTCTATTTTTATTTTCCCTTGGATTTTTCGTCTACAAAGGATTATATGACTATTTTCATTCATTTTAGTCTCAGTATGTTGCCTTGTACTTTTGATCTGTGAGAAATCATCACTGACAATCCTTTTGATCACACCACAACAAAATATAAGATAACACAGATAAATCAAGATATAGATTAATGTTCAAAATTAATCATGGATGTTACACGCAAAGCGAAGGAATTGAAAGACATTTCTGTATAATCCAAATCAGAAATTGGAGAGAACAGATTTGGCACTAAAAATATTAGCTGTTCATGATATCTCTGAATGCAGCAGTTTACTTGTGTGTCTCCCTCCCTCGTAGAAACAACCCCACGCCACACTTGCAAAGACATCTCCACTTTCAAGAACAAGCTTCGACTTTCTTGCAGCAAATCAAATCAAATGGCTGCTTTATTTGAATTCAGATGATGAGTACATAATTTTGCTGCTAATATTTACACATATCCCCCAGCTTTTTTCCACCAACAATGAAGAATTATCATTCATCATCAAAACTTTATTTGATTGCCAAGAGGAAGGAGCATACAAGTCATCCCTGTCATAAGAAGTCTAAGCTTAGCATGCTAGGTTGTACAAGAATTTGCTGACAGTATGCATGTTTCATTTTATTGTCTGAGCATCAAATGTTTATCTCAATAAGCTAGAACAAAAAATTATCCAGTGCTAGGTTTAAATATTTGATCTTATTCTCATATTAAATGTACCAAAGATCTTAATTGGTACATCAGAACTACATGAGCATCTTATGTCACTGATTCAAATCTATTGTTAATGAATCAATAATTTTATCGGACCAAATCATCATAAATGTTAAAACATACCTCATGATATCGATTAGTATAGTGAAACATAATTGAAAAAGGGTTACTTGTGGATAGGAACATCAAATGTGTTTACTTTATTGTTTGAACAGCAAATGTTTGTTTATTTATGCTTGAAAATTTTATTTAATTCTATAAAAAAAAATTAATTAAATATTAAATATTTTAAATTAATGAGTCAATTATTCCATTTAAATCGTATGAATGGTTAGACACATTATAAACTATGGTAAAAATGCCAAAGTGAGAAATGATTACTAGTGGATGTGATTAGGCATCAAAATAAGGATTTAACTTACGAGTACTTACATTTGAATCTTGATATTATTGACAAAGTCATTCAAGTGGAAGTGGAATAGATTGTAACACCACACCACCAACAATCTAATCTTTTTTAGTGGGAAAAATTATATTGATTTATAAATATCTCGGATTATTTATTATTCAGATTTATCATTGCATCATATCAAAAGAAGATATCACTGTCTAATAAAGTTCTGAAAACGTATTAAATATACCATTCAGAAATCCATACTACTATTTTTCAGATAATTTGATGTCATCAACAACAGAGTTGGAATTATGTCTACGCTTTCTTTCTAATTCTAATTTGAGCTTTTGTGAAGAAAAAGAAGCATACCGACTGATAACAACGTGACAGAGTCGAAACCATCAGCACCGATCTGTGTCGTCCATGTCTTCTTCTTCGCCTTCTTCTTGCTTCTTCAGCTTGGCTTGAGCCTCCAACAGTGCCCTGCTCACCTCCTCATCCCCTGGAATCTCTTGGATCAGCACTCCATAATCCTTCACCGATGCCTCCCACCTCTCCAACTAGCAGACGATCAATGGAGATGACATCAATCCTTGTCCCGGACTATGTAGACTTGAGCATGGCGGAATTACTGACCTTGGCGTTGCAGTCCGCCCGCCGGAGGCGAGCCTTGCTGTAGGAAGGACGGACGGCAAGGGCGGTGCTGCAGTCCTCGATCGCCTTCTCGTAGTGCCCAAGCTTGGAACGACAGGTGGCTCGGTTGTAGAGGAGAACAGCGTTGTGCGAGTCCTGGCTCAGGCCGTCGCCATACGCGACGCATGCCTCGGCGAACTTCGCGGCCCGGAAGAGATCATTGCCTCTGGAGCGAGCCGCGGCCACCGCCCGGGTCCGCCGCACCACCGCCCCGATCTCCCGGCTACCGGGGTCGAGCTGAGCAGCCACCTTGGCCGCCGCCACCGCGTCGTTGAACCTTCCTGCAGCCATGTCGACCTGCGCTTGGACCATGAGGACGTACGCCTTCGCGACGGTGCCGAAGAACCTTGTGTGCTCATCCATGCCGAACTTGGGCGCGGCGCTCATGATCGAGTCGGCCTCCTCGTGTCGGTTGAGCTTTAGAAGCGCTTCCGCTTGCCGTGCGAAGACCTGCCAAGACAAAGCCATGGCCATGAATTGTGCAGGTGGATCGAAGCAGAGACGAGAGATGGAAGGAGGAAGACGAGACCTGTGGAGCGAAGTCGGCTCCGGAGGAAGCAGCAGCCTGTGATTCCTTCAACAGGGTGATGTAGTCCTTCAACCTGCGTGCTTCGTTGGACCGGGAAAGATGGGATTGCAGAGCCTGCGCTCTCGCCATGTCGCCCGAGCTAGCCTCGTTTCTTGACTGCTTGAAGTGATGGATCGCCTTCTCCGCTTCTCCCAATCTGATGGATTACCATGTGATTAAGCCGTCGTGATCCTGCAAGCAGCAGTTGGATTGACGTGAGATGGGAGCTACCTGAGATGGAGCGTAGCCAAGCGGTGATGAGCCCGGTGGTAAGCGGGATCGAGTCGAATGGCTTCCTTGCATTCCACGACGGCCTCGAGGAGGCGGCCCATGGCAGTGAGCGCGGCGGCCTTGTTGCTGTAATAGGAGGCCTTGCCGGGATCCATGTCGATCGCCCGATCGTACAATGCCAACGCCTCCGCGAACCGCCCCATCTTATACTCCCCGTTCCCCATTTCCTTTAGCTCCTCCGGGTCCAGCATCCTCGATAGAACCCGGCAGAGCTCCGGTGCCGGTGCCGGTGCCGGTGCCGATGCCGGAATCGGCGACGGTCTCATTGGATTGCCGAGGCTTCCTTTGGTGTTCTTGGCCACGGTCGGAGGATTTTTGAAGTTGGCGTTGCCACGGAGGTTGCCCAGGTTCCCGAAGACCATAACGTTGCCGGACGAAGCCCGGACGAGGTGGCCGCCGTCGCTGGCGTTATGGCGGTCGTAAAGCATACCGTCGAGCTCCGCCATTAATCCACTGTTCGACCTCGCCGTCGTCTGCGGCGGTGGCATCCGGGGGTTGGCCACAGCACGCGCGGTTGGGGCCGGGGACCGGGGCTTCACGACGGGAACCGGGGGAAGGACGGGGACGATCGAGGTGACGTCGGATCCGGTGCGCCGGCGCGGAGCGGCCGAGGAGTCCTGCAACCTCGACGCGGCGTCGGGGACGATTCGGGGGATGGAGCTGGTGGACCTGGACCTCCGGCGGCGGAAGAGGCCGCAGCCGGAGATCCTTGGCTCGTCCTCGACCTCCATCTTCTCCGATGCAGGACTCCGGTGGCTACGACGAGGTGGGGTCGGCAGCCCGGCATTCGCGCATGACAACAGCTCGCATAGAGAGGGAGAAAGCTGGCGAGACATCTAAAAGGAGGAGGGTGAGGCGATATATAGCGTTACGTCTCTGCGTGGCTGTCATGCACGGTTAAGGAGGTGGAGCTGAAAGCCATCGACGGAGGAAGCACAGCAAAATAATGTAAACCAAGAGGGTGGTGGAATTGCTTGGAATGAGAGAAAGAAGAATAGAAGAGGAATTCTTTTTGTTTTAAGGGTAAATTCTTTGGAAGAATTCCTTCATTTTTCTTTTCTTTTTTTTTGCCTCTTTTCTATTTTTTTTAGAGGGAGTCCTATTTTTTATAATACCAAAATAGCTCTTAAAGTGTCAACAACAATTTTTTCTCCCTAAATTTCCTGTAGAGATTCTCATTTTTAAAATAATACCAAAATTCCTCTCAATATATCTTTTTAAATTTCTCACAGGGCATCCTTTTTTTTTCAATAATAACAAAATACCTCTCGAACTATGAATAAAATTTATTTCTAAATTTCTAGCATTTTTATAATACCAAATTTCCTCTCAAACTATCAACATAATTTATTTCTAGATTTTCCACAGTGCATCTCAATTTTTTAGTTAATACCAAAATTCCTCTCAAAGTATCAATATAATTTATTTTTAATTTTTTCACAGAGGGTATCCCTTTTTTTTCAATAACACAAAAATTCCTCTCAAATTATCAACCATGTCTCCTTCAATGGAAAAATAAGGGCAAACAATACATTGTTTTAATATTTCACTCTATGGGAAAAAGATGAAAAGATAGTCTATTCTAGGAAATTCATCCTTCTTTTAATTAAAATATATATATATATATATATATATGAATTTGTGAGGCACAAAATATTTCTTTAGCAATTATAAAAAAAAATAAACATGTTTTTTCTTTGATTTTCCTTTGTGTATCAATCACACAAAGTCAAACATCCTCCCATTATAAATAAATATATATGAATTGATATAGGAAATCTCTGTTATGTGTGCTTGTGATGAAGAAAAGGATTAATATGAAAGGGAGAGGAATCCGGGAGAGGGAGAGATGTGGATCTCTGATGAAATGGGAACAAGAGGCTGTTGCTGTTGTTTAATCGTTCTATCTTTGGCATACTGCAATTTGGACCTTTGGTGGCCAACCTCTTCGACACCTCAAAACAAGGAGAGCTTCTCTTCTCTTTCTTTAACCTCTTCCTCTTCCTCTTCCTCTTCCTCTTAAAAATGGCTTTAATGAATGATGCAGCAATGAGGGGGAAGAGTGGTCATGTGCACACCTCCACGTAGTTGTATATTCGTGCTTCCCACGTAGTCATTTCTTCTCTTATTGTTGTTATTTTCTGCTATTATTACTAATTTTTTAGGTTTTAGGTCTTCAAAGAATGGCTATCTTTAACGAATGAAAGATTTTGAGGTAGTTGTAGTACTAGTATTTGATATGAATGTAGTAGATAGGTTCTATGTGGAGTTTCCTTTGACCAAACTATATAATGTTGAGTGATCTCAAGTCTTCATAGTTTAATCTGATAACTACATGTCATCATATATGTAGTTATTAACTATATTTTGAAGGCAAGTTAATCCACAATGTGCCTTTTTTTTTTCCAAATAAAGCTAAGCTTGTCAAAGGTTTGGGTCATCAACCAAATATCTATCATATGACAAATATAGAGGAAGTAAAAGAAAGTCATAGAGCTTGGTAGTAAGTAAGCTTATCCAGCCCTGTAAACCAACTCAATTCTTCTTTTCTCCTACATTTAGCATGGGGCTATATCGGGATACGAGGCACATTCCAATGATGGCTTCATATTATGTTATACCTCCAGCTCTATCCATGGGTAGAGCTTTCCTAAGGGGTTGATCCTCCTATGGTAACTGACTCACTAACTCGATCACCCACGACTAGATAAAAATGTTAAAGCCCAGTTAATTACAGTAGACTCGTCGAACCCTATAAACCAACTTTCTTTCTTTCCCGCACCCTATGTGGGATTGGATTTGGAGTGTCAAATAGATCTTCTTGGCCTGTTATATCTCATCATTTTAGATTGGAGCAGGCTACTATTTGTTGTTATGATGGTTTTCTAGTTAAGTTTGATTCACAGTCCTTCACTAAGTTCTTTCATTTACTACACTATTTTTTGCCACATTACTTGTCCTGGAAAAGGTTCACTCTTATAAAAGATTTGACTCCACAAAAATGACAATAACTTTTGCAAACATATATGAACCAAGAAAGAAAGACTTACCTGGAATTTAAGATGACAAAGAAAGGATCTTCCCTTGATAAACATAAAAGATATGATAGTCCAGAATCCATTTGAGTAATACAAATTGTGGAACTGATAGGACATTTGGAAACAATGGATGCACCAATGCAGCATTCAGCTTAGCAGAAATTTGACCATTTCTGAGACTTCTGGTAACTCCAAAGATTCTACCATTGCGACAGACTACTCTGGTGAAGATAAATCACTAGAAGAAATCAAATTCCAAATAGTTGTTGGAACCTTTCTGATCTTTGGTAGCTGCAACTTTTTCATTTGTCAATGCTGCAGGCTTTGGCAGCCGTTCAATGTCGACGGATTTTGGGATCTCCGGTGGACTTGCACAACGTATCAGTGCCCAGTTAACTCCCTCAAAAAATGGATGCTGTTTTATCTCTGAAGCCCCACGCTTGTATGCAAGCCGTTGCTGAGGCTCCTTCACAAGCAGTCCCCTTATCAGATCTCTGGCAGCGAAGCTCACTGTTGGGGACTCTGGGAAGTGCAATGGCTGCCCGACGACATTGAACAGTGTGGCCCTGTTACCTGATCCCTTGAATGGGGTCTTCCCAAACAAAAGCTCATACATGAAGATACCAAAGGTCCACCAGTCAACGGCACTCCCATGTCCCTCACCCTTGATGATCTCCGGTGCCAAGTACTCATGTGTACCAACAAAAGACATCGACCGAGCATCTGTGGGCTCTACTATGAGCTCTGGCAATGGGCTAACCTGGTTCCCGGTCTCTGATTTCAGCTTCCTGTCCTTGGACTTGGATTTGGAGAAAAGTCGTGGACCAAAGCATGTTGTAGGGGCAACACAAGAAGGATGGATACAGGATGGCTCGACGCAAGCAGGCTGCACACAGTATGCTGAATTGTTCCTCCTGGATGATTCAGAATCTGAATTGATCAATGTTGGGCTTACTGCACAGCGAAGCGAGAGATCGAAATCAGAAAGCATGATGTGGCCATCATTCCGAACAAGAACATTTTCGGGCTTGAGGTCACGGTATATGATTCCAAGCATGTGTAGGTACTCTAATGCCAGGAGGATCTCTGCTACATAGAACCTGCATTTTACGATATTCAGAAACACGGATCATCTAATAGCAGATCCAAAAAAAGTTTTGCTTTGAGAGCAGAGATTCGTGTCCGGACTTATCAAGAAAATTTCAATAGAAATTGATTTGCTAATTATGCCACTCAAGTTAGTATCTAGTCTAAAGTATTAGAAACTAATAAAATGAAACAGAGTTTCCCAAGTGTTGTGAGCTTAATATGGTACCTTTCTCAACCTGCCTCATGTTTTTATTCATTCTAATGAAGTGATTAGAATTCTTGAACTTGAAAGGATGTGAACTATTGTAACCAAACTGTTTTGTTCATAGAATTTACTTTGTGGTAGGAACTATGAATACTAGTCGAAAAATTATGTCAAGCAATGTGGATAAACCTAGCAACCATTCATTCGACCAATAATCTAACCAGCATGTAATCAGTTTGTAAAAACCAAATATTTAAGCAACATATACATCATTGAATGTATTGGAGCTCCGGAATTAGCTTAAAAACTACTATTTAGTATGTTGTTTAAGTCCTAGAACAATCTACAGAGATCAATCAACCAAACACTCATGTAAGACAAGAAAATAAAATTTAAAAAAATGAAGAGTAATATTCAATAACAAGAGAAGAAAAATATTTACTAATAGAAAATAACCTAATGTATAGAAAAAGGATTTCCTCATTGAAGTTTATCTCATTTTTTCCAGCTTATGTTCGTTTAGTTGTGCCACTTCCTTATTTCTATTCAAAGCAACTGAAAGCCCAAAATAAATATTTGTTATCTCCACAATAAGTATTTAAGTGTTGAATCAATGCTTTGAGAAGCAATGAGTTAAAGCAAAGCAATCAATTAAAGAATAAAGGTAACAAAGATGTCAAAAGAATGATGCATTATGCAGCATTATCAACATACACATTTAATTCAGAAACATGGACTCACCAAACCATATCGAAACAAAGGAACATGGAACCTTATGGAAATATCTAATCTATGTTGTGAACACCTGAGTCTAACAAGGAGTAAAAGTGTAGAGCGTACTTCACCGCTTGCTCTGAGAAATGTTTCCTGGGTTGCCTCTGACGAAGGGTATGCAAGTCTCCACCTGGGCAGAACTCCATCACCAAACATGAGAATTTATCAGTTTCAAAGTGCGCATAAAGTGTTGGAAGAAATGGATGATCCAGAGATTGTAGTATCTCCCTCTCTGTCTGAGATCTAAGAAGCTTCTTACGACTAGCCAGTGCTCCCTTATCCATGACCTTCATCGCAAAATAACATTTCGTCCCACTCAACTCTGATAGATACACACTGCCAATATCACCACATCCTAACTTTTTTAACAGCCTAAAATGGCTCAAGCCGAGAGCTCGATCTCTCGAGCGGATCATTTGAATGGCTTCCCATCTTGAATCATTTGCTTTGTGAGGCTTGTTTAAGCTGCTACTTAAACTGCTACATGAGCTCTCGTCACTGACATCACTGTTAGTACTAGGCCTACACAAACTACTTTTTGTGCTCTCAACGAAATCAGCTGTCATACTGCTGGTTGCATCACTAACTTTAGCAGACACGAAGCTTACGAAGCTATCATTTCCACTCTGTTCAGAGTTCTTATCTTTATCTCCACTAACATCCACACCATTTAGTTCTGTGGAAACTCCTTGTTGCATTGGTTGTTTC